GGGGGATTACTTGCCCCGGCGTGCCGAGTGACTAGACAGATATGTCTTTTCGTCATGCAAATGATCGGCGTGACTTTGTTTCCGACACAAATAGGGTAACAGTGTCCGCACATGCTCTCTGCCTTCCATACAGGGGCGTCGCCGTCACAGATCTCTAGTATGTACATATATTTTTTTCCCAAGTAAGGCCTAGCCTAGTTCTGGTACGCTGCACGAGTGTGTGCAGTGCCTTGATGAGAACTGACAGGCACGGCTGTGGGGCTTTGGGACAGGGCTGGGGTCAAGGGGTCATTCGCACCACGACTGGGGCGACGAGGGGGGCCTCGAGTCTCCTTGTTGACGTTTGACCAGATTAATCGCTCGTTTCTTGTTGTTGTTTTTTTTTTTTCAAACGGTAAACCTGTAAGAAGTGTCCGCAATTATTTATTTTTCTTCGATTGGTAGCCGTGCGGAGCCGTGTGAGCGCCGTGCCGGCAGGCAGCCCACCGCGCACGTGTGCACGGTGGTGCCAGGCGCTCGCGGGCCGGGCATCAGCGAGGAGGGGCGGAGAAACGACACCGGCGACTTACAAAAGAGCTTTAGCTTTATTTCGTTGAATGACGCGCTTCTCTCATTTCATCGTCACATAACACACTGAACCATGATTACAATCTAGCAGGTACACAATTACACTTTCTTCCAAGGTTCAAATGCAAAGTAAGGCTTTCACAGTGGACGCACATTCACTGCAACGATTCTACTTCAATAAATTAGAAAAAGACTATCGTACAAATACTTTTAAGCAATGAGCATTTATGTTACAGCTCTGCTAGGGCGTTGAAATTTGGGAAGGTTTAAGCCATTATTGCATATCGTATTACCATTATATAGTATTATCGTCATAGTTAAACCAATTATTATTATTATTATATTAATATTACTATTCTCATTAAATATACAGAAAGCACACATAACAAAAAATGAGAATTATGCATGCGGTCTACCCTTTCACAAAATTGAGACGCAATGTGAGTGGTTCATACTTTATAATTGAGCTATTTATAAATTGAAACACAAAATTCAACGCCCATAAATCATTTGCCCACTTGGTGGGATAGTACATCTAGATAATAAATACAAAAAAATGAACTCTCGAACACTTTTTCTATTCTATTTACACTATCTACAGACTGAGACTAAAAATGGCCATGCACTGATTCTGCTTTTTTTTTAAGTCTTGAAAATATGGCAATAATCATAGAAAAAACACCGTGTACGCAATGCATCGCTCTTGTCAGTGAATGTTAATTTTCCCCACAACTGTTGGGGCTGAGAAACTACGTACCCGTGACGAAGTTGTCCACGTTTGAGAGGAAAACAAAGAGGGGAAAAACTTTTGTTAGATTAAAAGCTCCGCTTCCGCAGTCGCTTGCACTCACATACTCCATCGCACACACGAACACGCACTCACTCACACTCTCACGCATTGACATATTTTCAAGCGGTCGGGCCCGGCCGCCCCTCCGCCCGCAGAAAGGGGCGGCCCAAAAGGGGGGTTCAGTTCGGTTCGGATCGGCCGACTCGGTTTAGCTCCTCGATAGCTTCAGTCTTCTTTGGTTGTCCAGCCGCGCGGCCGCGGGCAGCGCCGCGGGAGGCGCCTGCGCACGCCTGACCTGGCGCCGCGTCGCGGCCGCGCCCCGCTGCTGCTGCGGCCTCGCGACGCATCGCGTCATGTCGCGTCACGTCACGTCCGTTCGCATCACGTGTGGCCACGTGAGACGGGCCCATCTGCCCTGCCAGGGCGTCGACTCACTGAGCGGTCCCTTCACTGAGGAGAGAAAACAAGGGAGAGCGTCAGTCACACGGGAACGTCACGAATAAATGCATATTCAGGGGTCTTATGATATGACATCGTGTCAGCACGTTTTCAGTTGAAATTCTGATTCGATTCCGAGCTAAAAACGTACTCACGACAGAAACTCTTACCCGCCTGGGCTCGTTCCTGGGCTTGTTGTGGTGCCGCCTGAAGCGGCGGCACTGCTGCGCGCAGCAAGCGTCCTCGCTGCTCTGGCCGTGGCCGTGCTGGCCGAGGCCCTGGGCGCCCCGCCGCAGCGGGTGCTGCTGCTGCTGCTGCGCCTCGCAAGCCGACCGCGTGCATCGTTTCCGGTCGCACTTCACCTTGCCGTCCTGTCGCGAGAGGGGAAACGGAAATGGGTCATTACTCGGCCATCGGTCTGTTATACGAACACTGGCCAAGCCTAAGCCGGCCCGCGGAGGCGCCGCGGAGGCGGCCGGACTCAAATATTGACGCGCGACGACTTGACTCACCTTGCAGCGGCACTTGACGCACTTGTACTCGCCGTGCGACGAGATCCTTGGGTGCCACTCGTCGCCGTTCAGGTGCGGTTTTCCCAGTGGGTTCCTGCGGGACACACAGAAAATCGCGTTGTTGAGACGGTTCGAGGCTGCTGACGCGTTCGCGTCGCGCGGGCGGGCCGTGGCACCACCGCCGCCGCGCAGCTAGGTCGACTGTACTAGGCACTCACTTGCAGCCTCCGTCAGCGAGGATCTCCTCCGTGGTCTTGGGGGCGGCCTGCTCGGCCTGCAGGGGCGGGGGCGTGGCTCCGGCTGCGTCGGCGGGGGTTGCGCTGGTGGCTGTCTTGGCGGGGCACTGCTTGCAGCAGGCGCGGGGCTCGGCGCGCACGGCCTCGTGCTCGTCGCAGGCTAGCGGCGGGCACTGTGTGCGCTCGCAACGGGTCTCGAGGGTGGTGGCCTGGAACAGGGAGGCGGGGAGTTAGGCGCGACCGGCGGCTAGAGTGGCGTGCTACGACAGGGCGGGGCGGGGGCGCTACTCACGTTGCAGGTGCACACGGCGCAGGTGTCGAACCCGTTGGGCGGCACGTACGGGTGCCAGGAGGTGCCCGCCGCGTGGAAGTGCCCGCCGAGCTTGCAGCCCAGGGGCACGGCCACGGGCGGGACCACGGGGGCCGCGGGGACCTCGGGGGCGGCGTGAACGGCGGCACAGTTTCCGCAGCACTGGCCGGGGGCGGCGGGGGCG